CAATCAAACCAAACTGCTCCATCATGTCCAAGATGTCTTCCTTGATAACGCCTTGCTGAATAAGAGGGGAAAAAACGTGATCAACAAGCTCCATCTTAAGGACACCACTTGTCTCGAGTTCCAGCCAGTACTTGGAATGCACAGGATCCTGAAACCACAAATTCCCTATTTAAGATATGTTCAATCTACCAATTCTTCTTTAAAAATGCCCTATTTAATTTGCAGCGGATCAAAAACATCTCTCCTTTCCTCATTACTAAGGGTACAATGAGTGGTAAAATGTAGTTGGCAAGCCTCCCGAAATGAGTCAACATAATAAGAAAAATCTTGTTATTCATCTCTAATTAGTTTATTTAATTTCCCCCTTACCTCCCCACCCCCAAACAATGTCGTAATAAATTAGTGACCATTTTGTCAATATAAGGCAATATTAAATTGAGGGAGAGTGGGAGACACATGAAAGTTATGGAGAAAACTCAAAATGTTGTAAGGGGTGTAAAGAACGTGAAAAAAAAACGAACAGACAGTCAATTAAATTAACATTTTTTCGTCAAGCGCAAGTTGGGGGAAGGTAACAAATCCTGCCTACGATCTGTAATCATCTCGATGCATAGAAGATTATCTTTTCCTACCGCTTTTTTGAATGCTGGAATGGTTATAAGCTTCTTGAATAGACTGATCAACCACTGTGCCTTCAGAATGACTGTACTGCGGTGTTTCACAATCAAACCTAAGTCGTGATAGAAATTCAACATGGTGTGAAACTGTTCATCGTCTTCTATAAAACATACATCCTTGGCATAGGTTTGAAGATGGACAGTATTTGAGTGGTATACATTCTCAGCTACCAAAGCTTCAATGACCTTTTCGAAGTTAAACCATCTAGAAATATAAAAAATTTATAATTAGTCTAACTAACAGAAAGGTATACATCAGATAGCAAATTGCATGTAGCAAAGTTTGGAAATTTCTAAATGTAACTTCAGAATATGGCTTAATAGCCGGTTAAGCATCTTTTGAGGATATATTACATCCACAAGTAATGGTAGCATGTTGTTAAGCACTGAAAAATTCGTCGCCTTGAAAGCGCTTTACACCTGTTTCCCTACTCGTCGAGTTTGCTACATGTTCGCTTCTAACATGCCCAATTCGCTGCCTCTGTTAATTCACAGTTTTAATTTCTCTTTTAACCATAAACCACAAGCAATATCTGTAATTTATACTCCCAACTGCGTGATTACCGTTTTCAGGAGTCAGTTAAACTGATCATATGCAAATTTCCTTCTGGTGTGCTTTAAACCGCTACTTTGATTTTTTGGATTGTTGCGAGGTTACGTTTCACAAGTAAACCTGATTGTAGGGTGGAACGAATCGGCAAAGTCAACAAAATTGTAAGCGTCTTTCATAGAAATGTTCCACAGTGAAAATATGTCATCAATAAATCTCTTCCTGACCAAAGGTTAGAGGGACTAGACATTAACAGTCGCTTTTCTAGGTTTGCCATAAAATGGCAGAGAAAGCAACTGTTGTCTTAGTTCCCATGGCGATGCCATGTTTTTGTATGAAGAATCTTTCGTTGAACTTGAAAGAAATTTCTTCAAGTATGAGCCGCAAAAGTTTCCGTAAATCATCTGTGGGAATTGGTAAATTATGCTCATAATGTGAGCATAATTTACTGTGGTAGAATGAAGTAAGTAGCGAATTCGGTATGTAAGTAACGAACATGTAGCGAACTTGAACGTAGCGAACTCGACAAGTAACGAAACCTATGAAAGCCACTCGTACGTTTCAGTACAGCTGTTGTTAGAAAAAAATGTGCTGAACATCTCTTTGTGCTTATATCATTACACATACTTTACCTCACTGGTATCTTCTCTCCCATATAAGGTTCCTGTCGAAGTACTTCCAGGATTCTCGCTCGAAGAGCATGAATTCCATCGGCATCAGTGCCATCATTGCCTCCTTCTTGACCTTTCAATTATAAATTACATAAACAATTAGTGCTGTTGAGAGAAGCCAGGGAGAGAGACACATTTGTCCTCGGACTTTCGATACGAGCTTGATGGCAACTAAGACCATGATCCCCTATTTCGTATTCGGAAAGGTCTATTTCTGCTGCAGCACTCTAAGTCACTTCTTCGCAATGTATTATAACTTTCACACTAATTTGGTCTGTTAAAACATTCGTTATGGTATTTACATATACCAGGTTAACACAAGAAAAAAGGGAAAAAAAGAGAAAACACAAACAAAAAAAATCCAGGAATAACGGGAACACTAACAAGGTGCCAACATCAAAAGTAGATAAGTACCTAGACTGGGACAAAAGGATGCTAGGAATTAGATGCGGAAAAGCAACCGGTAAAATATTCAGTGAATTCAATCAACTTTATCTAACGATGATTTTGTCTGTCCTCGATAGAAATAAAATTAAGCCCAACCTTATTAACTGATAAACACGTCATTAATCATCATGTTGAACCAAAACACATAATTTACCTGTTTGACGATTTCTTTGAAATTTAAAGAAATTCCAGAATTTCCGTGCGAATGATTGGTCTCCTTGAGTGTTATCAATGTGGAAGAATGGTCGGATCACATGTTTTCCATATTCCTTACTGGAAATCTCACGAAGTATCTTGGATGAAACATCCTTCCTATCTTCATATGGCTTGTCAGCATGGGTGCCGACGATGAACACTGGAGGTCGGAGATAGGGGAGCACGTTAGGCGTTTCAACCATTTCTTCTCCAGTTGATCTAATATTATGAACTGTCACGAGCCACGACAGCAAATTCTCTAGATTTGTCTCATTGTTCGGGTTCTCCAAAGGTACTTCATGAGTTCCCTGTCTGACACATGGCTGAGCTCGGGCATTCAGTGGCTTGCTAAGGTTGTGAACTACGATGTACACAGCTCTTGACGAAAGAAATACTGGGTGAGCAGCATAGTACAAATGTTGACCCGCAAAATCCCACACATCTGCGGTTATCGAGGATCCTTTCTCGATGTATGTACTATCAGCATCCACACCTTCAACGATCATGTTCTTTAGGAGTTCATCAGCCTGTTTTTCAACGGTATTAGAAAGTACGGTGGCGTTGATAGCCATTTTGGACTTTGTGCTTAGATTCTCTCCTTCATGAACTTCGCTTGATGGCTTGGATCTATCTGGAAACTTAGTGGCCGAATCCTCGTACACGGAAACCTAACATTTTAAAATAAGATGAAATATCAATAATGTGGATACCAAACCGCGTTAGAAATTGATGGTGATGCATCTTTATTTACACAGTGGATATCGATCTATCTCGTTATGTCAAAACAATGAAATGAGCATTAAATTTGTGAATTCGTTTGAGATCATTCAAAAAAATTCAGGTTTCAGTGTAAAAACATTGTAAACGGACCTCATCGGCGACAACATGTTCTGTGTGCAATTCCTCTCCTGACTCCACTCTGCGTTCTTCCTTAGGCTGTTCCCCTACTGATTTCATTTCCGAGTCTTCCTTCTCATCACGAACAATCATGTGATACCTTTCTCTTGCTAACAATTCCGCTATACCCGTTGTATATTCCAAACATTCAGACAGACTTGACTTGTTCGCACAACTACGAGTCCAGTTCTGAATTTGCTCCACTTCAATTTCGAACTTTGATGGCTCTATTTCGATCCCGTCCGTGCTCTGTTCCTGGTAGTCAAATGGCAGACCTAAGAGAGTCTTCTTTAAACTTGTTTTTCCGGCACGATCCTGGCCAACCAATATTATGCGACCACGATAAACATTCACAAATCCATCTCTAAGGGCCTCTTCATAAACTAGTCTTGCGGAATGTCCTTGCGCCAAAATATCGGGAGGAGCTACAGCTGCAAGTGAGGGAAAAGGAAAATTTAATATTGCAGTAATTGCCTATTGTAGAACAGTAAAGTGAGAAACAAAGAACATTTCTACGATACATCACGACCTTGTGGAGGGTGATACATGTAATACAAGGAGTATATTACTAAAATTAACTTCCATGAAAGTCATATCAACTTTTGGAAGATTAAATGTTTCCGGTAGAAGAGAAAATGATCTTTTTCAAAATTTCAGGTAAATCTGTCACATAAGACTTCCTCAACATTTTCTTGTCGTAGAATAGTGATGGGATTTTTCGTCTTTCTTGCACTGTGAGCTTTCAAGCCGGGTTCTTTTATACCATTTTCAATTTTAAATGCTTGGAAAAAGGTTTGTAAAGTACACGAACACTGCACTCAACAACAAAACCAGCCTGCTTCCGACGGTTACGCTTTTTTCAAGTGCACACCCCGAGACTCTATAGCCAGAATGATGGGTCGGCAAATTTGAATTAAACATTCCCACAAAGGGATTATCAGACGAAGCTTGCAACGATTCATACTAACATGTTAAACACTGACTCACATACTATAAAGCGACATTATTATAAGGAAAATAAAGAAACCATTCTTTAATTGGGTGCTAACATAAAAATTTCCTGCCTAATTGCGGCCAGATCTTTTTCCGGTTCGTGAGGCAATGTTAGAAACTTTATTTTTGTGTAGCTACATATTATCTCATATGTTTGGAGACAAAACCATGTTTTTTTCTCTTGTAGCCCGCTATTACGGACTCTCGATCCTACGCACACGAAATCTGCCCCCTCCCCCCGCCCCCAAGGGGGTGTCCGCAATAACGGGAGTTGACTGTATACGTATACTTCAATTTGGATCTCTACGCGAAGATGGAAAGACAGGCTTCACCTACTTGAAGCTCTAATCTTTACAAAGAAATTACTTCAGAAACTCTCAAATGAGATAAAAATCACCACAGCGCTAGAGACACACAATCCTTACTCCGAGATAACATTGTGCTCAAGTGTGCAAAAGATATATTGCCATATACTCATGTAACACTACCTGTAATGTCTACGGAGATCGATCTTGTCGTCGTATCCACATGCCTAATAAGACTTCTTATCTCTACTAGAGTGAGCGGATTTCCTTCAACCAATAGTTTTCTAAGGTCAGGCAGTTTTCTAACCACATCAAGTACCTTCAGTTGGTTATTTCTCAAGTCCAGCTCTTGAAGTCGTTCCAAGCATCCAATACTTTCAGGCAGAGAGGACAGTCTGTTGTTATTCACATTTAAGCACGTCAGGTTGATCAATTGAAGAAAAATATCAGGTAGCTTTTTAAGACGGTTGTGGCTCAAATTCAGCGATAGGATATTTGCAAGTTTTTTCACGTTCTCTCGTCTACGCAGAAACTCCTCTATGCGATAAATGCCCCGACCTCTGTCCAAATTTCTCCAACTCAGATCCAAAGTTCTCTCACTGAGATCCAACGTGTCGCTGATAGCGGATACGAGCGTTAAACGTTTCACTACAAAATAGAATGATTACAAAAAACTAAGCACCACATGACAATTCCCCGTCAGCTTTGCCCCTCTACATTCTGAATAATGCCTACACCTATCACACAAAAAAGTATTTCCTAACGAACCATCCCTGGAAACCTTAATTAACAGGAAAGAAGTGCAGGAGTTTCACATTAAGAGAACTAAACACAGCTTAGGAAAATTGATATAACTGGTATAGGTAACAGGAGCAACCTAGTTTTGACACTAGGAACAAAACCTCGCACTCCATTTTCCTTCTAGCAAACATAAAAAAATTATGCTATTAATAATTTTTTGTCTTTTTTCCACGGGAAGAAATTACTGCTAGTTATCCAAGCTCATGTTTCATAGAAGCAGCCACTGCTACAACAGACATACAATTGTAACAAACATATTCTCACAGTTACCCTTTCAATTCAACTTTAGTCAGAAACCTATACTCAAGTATTTTTTTTTTATCTTAAGACGAACACTTGACTGCAAAAATAATGTGATTTCTGTCAAGGCCTATCCACTGGAACTGTTCTCATTTCCATTAACGAGTGCTAATTGGAAAGGAGTGTTCCACAATGGCCACTCTGCAGGAATGGCGCTACTAGACTTTCTGAAGCTTTCTGCAATGCTTTTCATTCAATGTCATGGCGCAACCTCCAAGCTATCAGCAAGTCTGGCTTCATACAAGAGTGGAGTATGTGATAATTTACAAAGCATTCTCTATTAGATTATATTATGATAAGTGGTTGCATATTTTCTTCCGTCTGTGTCGGCCTTTAGCCGACGCATATTAGGGAATCCCCTTTCAACCCAGGTTTTTAACAAAACCAGTTGGAGAGTATTGCAATGCCTGCAAAGCGTATCATTTGACAAAGACACCCTGTGAGAAAACACATCTACTTAAAAAAGCAGTGTAATTGATAAGGCAGGTTGTTGGGAGATGGGGCGGTAAAATGGTTAGAACCCTAACCAAAAAAAAAAAAAAGCTGACGTTTCCAGCGATAGCCTTTCATCAGAACGACTGGAGATTGTTTTAGAGTTTTGAGGCTTTCCGAACTGTCTAGATGTAGGGAAGGGCCGCAAACTGCCATATGCTGCTCAGAATGGTTAGAGAGATTAAAGTGTCTAGCGACTGGTTAAGATGCGTCTTTGTTATTTCTTTCTACTTCGCGAAGGTGTTCTCGGAATCGGTCACTTAGTAGTCTTCCAATGTTTTACCACTGTACAACTTTTCGCAAAAAGCTATACATTGGTGAAACATCTTTTAAATCGACAGTGTTAATCCCTTCGGCCAGTTGAATAAAAACGCTCGTTGATGGCCAATTTACGTTATCAACTTAGTTGATAATACTACTGAGAAATTACTCTGTTATATTCCACCAATGACATAGCACCACAGTTTCTTTAGAAACCTACCCCCTTTAGATCAATGAATAGTCAATTCTACTCACCAACATCGGAGAAAAGGTCTTCCACATTTTCGCCTGTTAGTGCTGACACTTCCATAAAAATCTCAACGATATTGTTTTCATCTGCATAATTCTGAGCTTCCTGAAAGAACAAAATATAAAGTCGAAATCTCCCACCATAAAATAACAGTGTGCGTGAGCTGCATTCCTGAAATAACTCTGAGTTAATTTTGGGAATAAAAGGAAAAGAAATATAGCTTACCATTGATTACCGAAAAAATGGGTCTAATCAATTTTTTTTTTAATTTAAATTTTTACAATAAAGCCTGGTAAGAGAAGTCTTGAGAAGCGCTGTTGTCATTAGTAGTGGCTGTCCTTTTGACAAACTGAGCGTCAGTCATCATCAGAGTCCAAGGAGGAGTTTTGGTAAAATGATGTAATTCTGCCTCCTGAAAACTAATTCGTTACTTTTGCTGTGATGTCATTGACTGTGACAATCGGGTAACATGATTCCTTCGTCATTCAACCGTATGTGAATTAACTCATTGTTTTCTGTCTTAAAAACAAAAAAAGGTAAACAAGAATAGTTCATTCTAATAGGTCGCTTTGTTACGTCAATGTTGTGAAAAGGTTACTTGCGAGGTGCCAACGTCAGATTGTTGACATATGCCTGGTGAGCATGGTGTTGTTGACATTGGTTGAAACAGGGAAGTCTGCCTTTTAGGTAGCTAGATGTCAAATGCCTGATATAGTTGCTCTACGCAGGTTTCCTAACAAATAAGATTTTAAAAGACGCGTAGGAAGTTCCCATGTTATGACATTAATACAGCAAGATACATGTAGAGTCGCAGTACAAATAAGCACTTACTAGAAATGCATTCCTCTCCCTAAGATGCAACCCGACAAATAAAATTACAAAATGATTTTACACCAAGGATATAATAAGAAATCATAAAAAATCGTCCAAAGAGCTTTCATAAACCACCTCACTTTACCGTCCTTTCTCAAACATGATTTACATCATTCTCTACAAAAACCATTAAAAAACCTTCTCACCTACGTGATTTCATGTTTACAACATGTAGCACACTAGCATTATATAAACATGGCCACATTACTTACCTCAAAAGACACCTCCCTATTACTTTCAAGATCTGCTTTATTCCCCACAAGAGCTACAAAGGCACCTGGCCTGGCCTCTCGAGTGAACGCATAAACCGACGTCATTGCGTACCCAAATGAATCTCTCTGTGTTATGTCATACACAACAATAGAAACATTTATTGGGTGATAATTAGGATAAAAAGTGAAGGGCCCTTTCAAAGCAGCAGGATTCTCTATGTTAAGGTTCACCATCACGTCTTGATCCAGACTTACTCTTTTACGATACCAATAGATGCGCACTAAAAAGAGCAAATGAACATAGATTAAAACTTAGATCACTGAACTTTCAAAAAAATCATATGATTTGCTTTCATGCTCATTGTTAAACGTTTTCTTACCTGCCTCAGAATGGTGGAAGTGACAACGATTCCCATTAACATATGTGTGCAGCAAGTGCAATTTACCCACTTTGCACCCTCCTGTTTTAAAACAGAGGTGAAAAACAAAAATTTGTGGAACCTGAACACAAATTACAATGATCCATGTATTGTTGACATATTTTTTGAATATGATGTAGAGTGTAATGGTCAGCAATAAAATTACATACTTGAACTTGAAAAGCTTTCAACTTTTGAAAGAAGACATCAATCAATCAGTAATAGTTATTTTCTGTGACACAACCATGAAAGTATCTTGTAACTTTAACAATCAAAATAATCAAAATATTACATGCATATAGGAAACAAAAAAAAATTAAAAAATGAAGTTATACTGATAAATTGACCAGTAATTAGATTAATTTGTTTGCACTCACCATCAACTCTCAAATAAAATGTCAGTTCTGGAATTATTAAATCAATGAAGTTAGATTCCATCTGTGAACATCAAGAATGATACAAAGCCTTCATAATACAACAAGTGACTTTGTGACTCTAAATGTTGTTCAATGAAAACTTAAGGAATCCCCCTCTTTCTTCTTCTTGGGCAAGTAAACATTTACTAGTTAACTAATCAAGTTGCTTAAGCAGGGTGCTTTAATTATTATAATCATATGAAGACAAAAAAACCATCAAAACATTTGCCATAAAATAACAATATAAAGGAAAGATCTCCACTGTAACTTAATACATCTTTAGTTAAATAGACACAGGTTAGTAAAATCATTACTTCCAGTGGCAATTATATAGTTTAAATAATTTGGGTTTTTTTCCTCAAAATTCTTTTTTAACAAAAGAATTATAGAAAAGAAGTCAGAACAAATGGATCTATAACAATCAAATATATGTTCCAAACCATCTTGACCCGGAATTTGAAATTACAAACCACTAACAAAATAAATTCCATTAACTAGGTTCCACAAAAAGTTACTTGTAGGAAAAGCCTCACCCATAGCCTCCCTCAAAGAAAGTTTCAGTTGGTGCCCCCCTCCCCTACATTATTTTCCAGCAAGCATATAAAGTTCTTTTCCTTTACTTGATTGAGTACATTATTTTTCATGATACTTCTATATAAACAAGTGGTTTGAATAAAACAGTACAAAGGGGATGTTGGGTGACAGCAAGTAAAATTGGTTTATTTTATATGATCTAGAGGTAACTGCAGGAGGAATTAAGTTCTGTTGTCTCACCCTCCTGGGAAATTAATCCTTCCCTCTGCACCAATGAGAAAATAATTTCCACTGAAAAAGCCTTTTTATAAGAATTCTCAACATAAAGTAACAAAGAAAGCAGAATTATAAGAGCCAAACTTAGCATATATATATATATGATCAACACATCAGGCACATAATGGGTCAATAAAAAGAAAACCAGTTTTAAAATGAATTTTTGCAAAATTAAGTCTCCAGTAACATTCTCAATGGCTGTAAAGATAATTATCTGTGTTAAGCTATCATAATTTAACACGCTAGTTAAAGTAAAAACTTTGACTGATAATGGATTGTATCTTGTAGAGGATTCAGTTTATTTAAGGTATTTCTGAGCCATGCAGTGACTAGCGGTAATGTCCAAAGTGACAATTAACCAACAGTCAGATTTATGTGGGCAGTTATGAGTAACAAAGCATGATGATCAATCAGAAGGCAGTTAGTTGTAAAGCCTAAAAATAGCTTTTGTAGCTCCGAAAAAAAAAATTAATCATCTATTCACCAAAAGTTCTATAGTAACCCTTGGTGACACCACAATGCACTACCTTTCCTGAGCCCTAATTACTTAGGAAGTGGCATGGAGAAGAATCCCTAGCTCCATGGAGCCATTCACATGAGTCCAGCCAACTGTGCTGGCTCAGTTTCTGAGATCTAATCTTACCATTCTCTCCTTAGCTAAAATATAATGTCAAAAGCCATTCCTAATCCACGCCACTTAATCTAGTTGCCAACCATGCAATCTAAAGATTGGGTTAAGGGATATAAGTCTCTAAAGAAACTTTGGCACTGCATCAGTAGGAGAGTATAACTGGGTAATTTAATATTATCAACTGAGTTGATAACAAAAATTGGCCACCATGGAGAGTTTCAAAGCTGATGTTTTGAGCATTAGCCCTTTGTCAGAGTGAATGTAGGAATTGTGGGTTGGGTGTGTTTTATGCAGAAAATGGAGCTACACTATTGTTGGGAATATGGTGACAAGAAAAAAAAAGAATAAATTAGTTGAATGAAAAGCACTTCAGTTGATACCGTGGGGATTAAGAATGCTGATTTGAAAGATAAATTTTTGTTCTAGAGTTTTGTACCTTTAAAGATTGAGTTGCCAACCATGCAAGTAACATTCTAGCCAAATTATTTGAATGAAATTCTAACTGTCTCTAAATTGACCAGTTCTCAGACTCATATGGAGATCAGGACCATGTAATTAGGTGAGAAAAGATGTCTACCATCAAAATGCATAATTGCCGATCAGCAACAAAGTGGACTTATGAGGGAACAATGTCTAATAGTCGGACTAATAATAAGGATTGAAATGCACCAATGACAGCACATCAAAACACATAAATAACAACAAACCAAGGTCCTATAAAAAGCGACTTAAACTTTCAACCTGATTGCATGACAAACACTAGCAGTAACACAGTTGAAATGTCATGATCAATATGCAATTATTAGCCTGACTCTTACATTGTGGGACAAATGATTAAATGTTCATTTATAGATTCTTAAACATACGAGATATATCTACAGTTGTAGAGTAGATAAACAAAAGCTTTATTCAGTAGAGTTTTGTCAGTAACTTATGTATGAAATTAAAAAATGGAATCACAACAATGTACCAATTATTATTCTTTTTTTCTTTTTGATGGTGGCTCCATTAGCTAATGATTTGCCCCTCACCCCACACCATGAAGGCATTTATCTCTTCCCCCTTTCTCTTTCTCGAAGTTTTGGAAAAACAATTGTATACGAAAGGAAATCAATATTTCTAAATTGTTAAATATGTTCCATTTTTCCTGCCAGAGTTCTCAACACTATCAAAGAAAGTCTTCATGTCTTGAACAGAAAAAAACTACTCTTTGCTTGCAATTGTCCCCCATGACCTGTAGGGTTTGCTGTGAAGTCAATATTCATACTTTTATACTTTCCATTTACCACCTGCTCAATCAATAAGCTAACATGTAAAACCTTGAAAGTTCTGAGAAAAAAAATTAGTAGCGTGTAGCATGAATAGTCCAAGTTTTCTCTAAGTTTGTTTTCGACTTTTTTCCCCTTATATGCAAGTAACACTCTGACCAAACCATCGGAATGAAATTCTAACTGTCTCTAAATTGACCAGTTCTCAGACTCATATGGAGATCAGGACCATGTAATTAGGTGAGAAAAGATGATTACCATCAAAAAGCATAATTACTAATCAGCAACAAAGTGGACCTTTGAGTTAAAAATGTCTAATAGTCGGACTAATAATAAGGATTGAAATGCACCAACGACAGCACATCAAAACACACAAATAACAACAAACAAAGGTGTTACAAATAGTAACTTAAACTTTCAACCTCATTGCCTGACAAAGACTAGCAGTAAAGCAGTTGGAATGTCACGATCAATACGCAATTATTAGCCTGACTCTTACATTGTGGGAGAAATGAGTAAATGTTCATTTATAGATTCTTAAACATACGAGATATTTGAAAACTGGTTTAACTTATAAAATTTAAGATTTATCAGCGGAATTTTATGACGTGGTACATTTGCCAAATGAAAAATAAACCCTCTTATTAAATCACAACATTCTCTCTTAAAGAGGAAAACAGAAATTTCCATATAGTCCCGTATTATTCTGAAATACAGCGTAGTCCCAAAGGCAATTTATTGTTTACGTCATTGTTTTCTTTTTTCAAGAGCTGTATGCATAGGAAGTCGCCCCATGGAGCTTTACGGAATTTATCAGCTGACTGTCATAACTTAGTACCATTGCCGATTAAACCTATTAATCAAATCATAACATTCCCTCAGAGGAGGAAATTTCAGTCAATAAATTCCAAATTGCTGTAATTTAATTACCCAAGATGAAACTATCACTCGCTTTCTCTCCTGATATCAGAGAACATAAAAGCACTTCAAAATAACTAAATACTCTAACAACTTTCAATTGTGCTTCAACTGCGACCCATTGTCGTACTTAGAGAATATTTCCGAGTAAAAACAGAATGCTTAGTAGTCGAATTCTTCCCTGATATGTACAAGTATGACATCTGTTGCATCCTAACTTACTTTGCAACTTTTCCTTACATTATGCTTACTAGACATCAAACACCTCTTACCTCAGCAGGAGAAACTACAGACTATACAGGAGCAAGAAATAATAAAAGTACAGCCATACCCTTCGCCTAAACAGCAGATGAACACTTTGGCCCAACATGCATTGCCTGTCAGCTAAGCGTTCACTCCTTACCCATGCGTGATGCACGTGACTTTGTTTTGAGAGTGGTCACGCCAAGTTGAAGCAAGCGAAATTTGTTGGACAAATGCACCGAATTCCAAGACGAATTGACTGAAAGATCAAAAAGGACGAATAATCCAATATTGAGGACAGCGATCATGGATATATATATCCATATATATGGATCGCAAGATTCACCACTCCGTTTCAATACACCTCGCTGACGGTAGTTAATTTTGAACCTGTATGGGTTGACCTTCATCTGAAGTCGTTCAGTCTCATGTTAAAGAAACAAATAAAATTTTATCGCGGTTGAGGGACTGATTGGATTTTTCTTTGTTTTTTCCTACTGTTTTCCCGGTCCCTACTCTTTTTACTTCTATGTCTTCTTTGTTCTGCGTCATTCGTGAACGAAACAGGTTCTTACAAAGAGGATAGTTGACAGACGGAATTGAATATGGTGGTTGTAAGACCTGTTATTTGTGTAACAAGCAAAAAGAAAAGACATTTCGTCTTTATTTATGGGAGCTGGCGGGTGGAAAGAGAAAATTCTTGGAACTCATCGCAAATCTTCGAAATATAGGCAAGGCCCAACACTAAGGTCCTGTTCAAACAGTTTCCGATGTAAAGAACTCTCCCCTTCAACACAACTTTATAGAACGTTAATATGGAGTTGTGAGTTAAAAAAGGACACCCACACACAAAAGGCAGAAAACATGAAGACTCCATTTTATACATCTTTTTTTGGGGTCTATTGCAAATTACATATAAACTTTCTTGGTATTCGGTCCATTAGTCATTCAGCTATAAAGTCAACAGCCCTCTGTCCGGGTTTAGTTTTAGGCCCCGACTTCGCCTCACCTTGTTTTGTCTGAGCTAAGTACCAGCCAGTAATCAGTGTGGATTGGTAATAATTGTACTTCGTCCCTAAAATCTTTTTGAAGACACAAAACGTAAGCTTCAGATGAAATATACATTTTTGAGGACGTAAGTAGAAGCTTTGTCATGATAAATTGCTATCGAATTTTGTGGTTTGATAAGAATTTTGATATGAAACTTCAACCTTTACTTTCGAAATTTCAATAAATATTTTGCCGAAAAAGACACAACAAAGTATGTAAATGCTCCCCCTTCCTCCATATTTGCAATATTCACTAATTATTGGCCAAGTTTGCAACTGAATACGTTATGATACTGAATAATTCTAATTTGTCTCATACCCAATGGAAATATTCAGCAGCAGCTGCCGTTACAGTGGAGCGCTTCAGTCCTTTAATTTTTTTTTCTATATACATAAAGGTTTTACCCTGATTACTTGGGATGTAGTTATTACAACCACATAAATTGAGCTGTTAGATGATTGAGATATTCACACACTTCAGTTGTGTTGATAACTGTAGGACCGTATCGTAACTAAGGGAATAGAGTTTATGTTGAAAATTTTACTGAGACATTGAAATAGAACCGCGTATTTTGAAATTTACCACGAAATAAATAGTTAAAGAGCTGCTTTTAAGACAAGTGTTTAACCATTGCATTAGTAAGCTCCAGCCCAGGCTGTGTAGTATTTTCGATTTCAACAAATTTTTGAACCAAATAAACACCACATCCCGTGGAATACATGTCAACATCCCTACAATTTCAATTCTAGCACCACTAAAAGTAGAATGTGTATCCAATTATATCTGATTAAAAACTCAGAAATTATAGGTTAAAGAAATTAGAGACCCTCCCTCTCTTCCTGAAATTTTTCTACGTTACTTTATCTCAATTCAAAATTTTAGAGTGCCATGTGAACTGAAAACTGTGTTTATGATCGCTTGATTGGCTACCGGCTTCTGAAATTGTCTCGCCTTAGAAGTTAAGGCGACCCTGTCAGGCAAAAAAAATTTGCTCATTCAAAGATCTCGGCTGACCAACCAGAGACGAGACTGCTAAACCTTCCCATCGGTCTGCCATTTTGTTTCATGACTTGCCCAGCTCTTCTGAGAGAAACTAATGTGCTAAAGAGGACGGCAGTTCAGCACTTTTCTTTGTTCGACGTTTGAAACTGAGCATCCAGACTCAGTGTATTCAATATCATAATCTAGACTTACGTCATTCAGTATCACGATCCAGACTCAGGTCATTCACTATCATGATCCAGACTCAGGTCAGTCAATATGAACCGTCAACAAGACACACTTAAGACACCATAATGAAGCTTGAGATCAAAAATTACGGTTGAAAGTCTTAAATATTAATTTGTCTCGCAGTTTGTCATTACGTTTATCGTCACACACTTCACGCATAGGTTTAACTAATTCGGGCTCGTTCATTGGTTCTTTTATTGAATAGGAGGAGATATAATTTAGTTTTATAAACTGAATTGATCATTTAAATTGGCCACCTTAAATTATTTTCTCAAGCTGACGTTTCGCCTGCGAAAAAAATAATTATTTGATTCCCCAGCACACGACCGAAATATATTTTCCAACTTTTTCTACCCATGATTTCGAAATATTTGATTCTTAGCAACTTCTGCCTTTGAGTAAATATAATACATGATAGCTACCCTCACAGCTGTACCTCTGAAATTCTTGTGAACAAAAGAAAAATGACCAAAAACGATTTCAAGGTCATTTTATTTTCATGCCCGTATAGGTGTTTGCGAAAACATGAATTGAGCTTTTAGTTGACGCATTTAACCTTTTGCCTTGTGATAAACTGGGGAAATTGTCGCTCTGACGAAGAGCCAACGCTCGAAACTTCAGCTTCGAAGCTCTCTACGGCGGCCAGTTTACGTTATCAACTCAACTGATAAAACCAAATTACTTGTTATACTCCTCCACCGACGCAGCAGAAACTAACCCCATTTATTCATCTTCCTTAGTTTTATTGAGTGGTTCCGCTTAAGTGAACTTTCAATTAAATTGGAAAACAATACCAACAGGCTGTTGGGACTTTGTAAAGGTGACCACTACCGTTCCATAGAGGACTTTGACAGCCGACCGCTTAATGAAAGGTGACCGGTTAGGAAAGGTTCGACTTAACTTGTAATTTAGCATGGACTCTACCGGAAATATGCGACTGTCGCACAAGCTTGTATAATGAAGCACAATAACCCCGAAGAACCTGAATTCAGTGTAAGATGCGGTGATTACCTTAGAAATTGATCTAAATGAATAATAACACTACAACAGCTGAAAATGAATGTCACTTTGGTTGATCGCTCTTGAAAGTCGACCTATTTATTGAGTCTGGTACAAGAATACTACGTTCATCCTCTAAATCACTTCTTATTTATCCTACCGTAAACTCTGTGACATACAGTCAACGTACGTTTTCTTTCCATGCGCCTACGTTATGGGATACTCTCCCAAATTCTCTTAAAAGTGTTGTTTCAGTTTCGTCTTTCAAAGCTGCCTTATAAACATTTTTATGTCGGAATTTTGTTCTCTAAACTATGAGAACTGTTTCATATGTTCTACGTCTCTGGTGTTTTAGCTATTTTGAGTTGAAGATTGATTTTGTAGTTGTGAGCGCATTGAGACTTGCAATGCGCACACTATAACATTGTTAGTATTATTATTAGCATCATTGAAAGTAACGTGAACTTGTCAGTTTGGCAGCCTGTACGTTGAGCCGATGAATCCCTCTTCGTGCCTTGTGAATTATGTTTCTGCAATTATGAAAATGCTTTACTATTAGAAATTTAATTAAGTTCAAATTAATTCAAGTTCGAGTCGATATTTCTTAATCACAACACGGTTGAACTTTGAGCTGAAAATCTGTCTTAAGAGTGGCATCTTACTTCGTTTTATAATTAAACGGATCAGACCGAGCAACACGGTGTCGATTATTTTGAACCCGCCTTTTGAAGTCGGAAAACTCATTTGAATTACAAATATTTTCAAATTTAAAATTCATATTAGCGCTTAGTCTTGCACGTGGAAAGAGCATTCGAACCACAAGAAATCTTTAGCGTCTTCTTTAGCTTCAATGGAATCAAGAAACACGTCATTTCACCTCCATTACCTAGGATATTATCTGTTCTGTCCAGATCGGCAAGTGTGTCTTATGCTGGATCAAGTGGTTCAGATACCATGCCGATGATTTGTGATCTTCATTTTGTCAAGACATTTATTCAGGTTTTTAATCTAGAGAAAGTTACATTTGGACAGAAATGAAGTGTGCATCTTTCTCGCTGTGGTCCTTGTAAAGTTAATTTACAGGGTCAAATGTATGAAGGAAGAGCGTTATGCATATAGCACAGTGCAGTACAAACCCTCAGTGGCAGCCGCCATGACAGTTCTTCTTCAGCGTGACCTTAATGGAAATGCGAGAAATTCGTACTTTATTGTAGGTGTAGTTATCACTTATTTGCTTATATCTCTTTTCATTCCAGTACATATTTTTTCAATGAATGAGTTGCCAGGGGTCACCACTGCACAAGCATGGCAAGTTGCTAGAATTAGATATATAGCGAAAGTTTGTTTCGAGGTCCGAAAAAAAGATCTTAGAGAACGAGAGAGAACGCTTTTCGGCGCTGTTTTATCAGAAGTGGGTCAAGATAATTTTGATAAGAAGGGAGTATAAGTTTTTGTTGGAATAACCACGAAATATGTTATAAAATATACCGATAAACTTCTCTCCTTACGCAAGGGTTATTGGTTTCGAAATGTCACAAGATTAGCTCTAAATCGCTAGGAAATAACATTCTTGCAACTTGAAATGTTTGCCCGGTCAACTCATTCATTAGCTTTCATAAATATAGAATGTTGACCAAAAGTGTGTTTTAAGCACACTCGCTCTTTCCTTTACCCTCTAAGCTCGTCAGAGAAGATGAAGGTAATTGTGAAAACGTTATATCGTAGACTCCGGTTTCTGGTTACCAAAGGATTGGATCGTAGGGCAGTACTTGCTTTTATTCACGTTGTAAGAAAACCCCGAGCTAAAAACATGCTTATTAGTCACCTGCTATAATAATAATAATCATAATAATAATCATAATAATAATCATAATAATAATCATAATAATAATCATAATAATAATCATAATAATAATAATCATAATTTTTTAAAGTTATATAGCGCTATATATATTACTCTATAGCGCTTCACAATCTTGAAAAAAAAATCAAAGAAATACATAAATAAAAATAGGTATTTACGAAGATAAAAATGTAAAATGCATAGAAAAGAGTAATAAACAAGTAAGTGAATAGAAAAAACAAAAATGCACGTTATGTATACAACTACTGCAAGTAGGCCTCTTTAAATAAAAATGTCTCTAGCAATTTCTTAAAAGTGTTAATGTTCGTGCATGTCTTCAGTTCTTTCGGTAAGGTATTCCATAGTTTAGTCCCTATAGCCCACTGATCTTCCTCCAAAGGACTTATGCTTGATGGCGGGGATCACCAAGTCATTGTTGCCATCAGCCCTAGTTCTTTTCATAGGTCTCCTCTTCATGAGTTCCTCAAGGTAAGTTGGTGCCAGACCGTTTAACGACATGAAAGTCAGCATTAGAACTTTATAGTGAATACGTTGACGTATAGGCAGCCAATGATATTGTTTAAGAACTGGAATTATGTGTTCATATTTACCATGTTGAGAGATGAAACATGCAGGAGATTCTGAACCCTGGTGAAGTACTTTAGCGTTGACTCTGGCGGACCATAGAGAATTGCATTGCAATAATCAAGTTTAGATGTAATCATTGTATGAACCATTGCCTTAGCTGCAGTCTCATTGATACAGCGTCTGATCTTGAAGATATTTTTCAGCGTTTAGAAGATTTTCTTTGCGACATTTCGAACATGTTGTTTTAAGGTTAAGTCACTGTCAAAGTCAACACCCAGAAGGCGAACACACTTGGTGACATCAACTTCCTCGTTACCAACAGTGAGTGGTTGTAGTTCGATCAGATTACGTCGAGGTCCATCTACTGCCATTATTTCAGTTTTACTGTCGTTTAACATCAACATGTTGGCTGACATCCATTGTTTGATCTCAGCATGAAGAGTTTCCATGTTGTACTTCGTCATAGAAACATTTTCCCTCGAAAACGCGATGTAAAGTTGGCAGTCATCTGCATAAGCATGGAACGTGATACCATGACTACGAGCGATATCACTAAGTGGGACCAAATACATTATGATCAGTTTTGGGCCCTAAGACTGACCCTTGGGGTACCCGAAAATTTAAGGCCTTAGAATCAGAGAGTATTCCGTCAATGGCGACCCTCAGCTTCCTTCCATCTAGATAGGATTTGATCCAGTGACGGCATCTACCAGTAATTCCAAAACAATGTGCTAGCCGAAAAGAGTTGCTATACTCCTTTTAACTTAATTTAAACAACAGAAACTAGACTTAACTCCGGCAGCTGTCAAGAAAATCCTGGATGAAGAGACAGGCCCTAATTTAGAATCTTTTTCTTCTACCCTTGCCATGTTGAATGTAAAGCGGGCACTGCATTACACTGGTAGGCTTTACGACGAATTCATTTTTTTGAGAGCTGTCTTTTTTTTCCATTCAACATCTAAATTCTCTCTCTTTACATGCGTTGATTTCTGCTAATATAAGGTAAATTTGAAGTAGTTATTCATGGTTCTTGTTGTATTTCACTTTTTCCCTCTCGCAAAGTGTCAAGCATAGGATGGAAATCAAGGAATGCAAGAGAGGGAAGAACAAAGAATATGCGATAAGGTTGGTTTTCTAGTTTTGTAACAGATGAACTCATCAAAATTTGTAAATCTCGTCAATGTCGAAGACTAACCAAAGTTGAAAAGTAAAGAAACCTGCTGATGAAATCACATTAGTTTTTCTACGATCTCTTTTCTCTTTGATCACCGGCTGTTTAAGAAAATTAGGAGTGGTTTAATGCAAGCCACCTTAATTGCTACTTTTTTATGTCCGTGTCAAAACACCTTATCACTGTTGGCAATATTTTGACCATCTTCCTGTCTTTCCAAAGTACTATCTGACGAGGAAATTACTTTGAAACTCTAAAATAGCGCTATCGAAACACTGATATCATCAAAATCAGAAGATCTCCGTAATAATGCCTAAATTTAAAATTGCGTAAGTAAATGAATAATTGTATGTTATTCCCTTTGCAACAGAGCGTGATAAAAAGACAGCAAAGGTAATAAAAAAGATAACTCACTGAAGAAGAAAAAATTATGAAGAAATTAACGCATTGTTATCATCTAATGAGGGAAAACCATGATTGAGGGTATGCCAAATGGATTAAAAGCGTTGTAATTCTATCAAACAAGATGAAAACTACATGTGCGCGGAGTTACTTGTTATTGACTGAGTGACCGGCCACACTGTGCATCGAGCTGCAGTAGTCCTAAGACGTACAACTGAAAAAAGGTAAAACAAAAAGTAGGTAAGCTACATTTGAACGGTTGTGGAGAAGATGTTCATTCGTCTTGTCTCGAGCGTTGGACAAAAGTAAAAAATTAACAGTCCCCATGAGGAATCGAATGTCAAACCTTTTGATTTCTCTCTCCGATGCCCTACCACTGGGCCACAGAGACCCCACGATGAGTTACGCCATTATAAGGACCTTGGTTGACACGCGTCTTGCATACAGCAAAGATAAGCAATGTCGAAAGCCTCATATGACAATAAGAACGAGACGAGACGGAAAAACATTTTTAAATCATTTTGCCTTGCTCAAAATTTATCATCTTTCTTATTTGAAGTGTTATTAGAAGTTGTTAGTGAACTCCAGAAAGAGCGATATGCCGCCATAACCCATGGCAAGTTCAAGAAAACTGCAATGCCCCAGTTGCCTTGTCTAAGACGGCGAATTTTGGTACATTAACCTATGTAACATGCGCCATTTTAATTTCTGAGGTTTGTTTCACAGTGGTGGCCGAAGATTGCCACCATATGTATGTCGCGATGGAACTTGACATTATGATTTGGACCACATTTTGATCGGAACGCTAGTTTGGATGACATTAATAATTTCTTTTATGTTTTGACTTTAAACAAGAAACTGCAATGCACAAGTGTTAGCCATGTTTGAAAGTTGTTACTGTAAATAAGCTTATGACAATCTTGCAGCGTGAAAACCTTAAAAAATTGGTATGTCCATTTCTTAGTTAAGACGAAGAGATGTTTAAAAATCCAGTACAGCTCTTGAATTTTAGCACCTGAAAGAAGAAATATTACCTAACACTGAAGAGTATAGGTTGAATAACTGCTCAAAAGTAAATACCACTCTCATGTAACATTTCCACAGAAGTTTATGATTCAAATACTGCTCATCAAGATGATAAACGTTTTAACACAAGCACATTCCAAGTCGGACACTTATTACTTGGAAAGGAGTTAAGGACACCGCTTCATCAAATAGTTTAGACAAGCTCCAAGGAACATTTGATTTATCTTCGAAAATATAACCAAACACTCCCGTTTCAGTTTTGTTAAAGTTTCAGCCAATTTGAACTTAGTATTCCCCGACAATTTCCTTCTATAGGCGTTTCATGGTCGAGAAAGGAAAATACAATGTAGGAGAAAATAGATGACAAAAGGCAAATCTTTCTATGTCCGAATCTTTTTATTTTACTATATTTCATGGTCTATTTATCTTTTTTAACATATAGTAGAGAACTGTGATACTCTACAAATACTCTACTTTGATGCTTGTCTTTACACATGAATATGAAGACAAGTGTTGATTGAGTTTTTAGTTGATAAGGAATGAATTAATGATCGAAAATTTTTACAAAAGTCCTTTAATGGATCTAACTAAAAGTATACGTTGGATACTTAGCAGCTTTCTACATGGTCTCGAACTCGGTTGTCAAACATCTCCGATTTCAAGAAAAGGGATTTTGCAGGGAAGATCTGATATGGGTGGCAGATCCTTGCTAAACTGACAATGTATAGCATCTAAATGGTTACCACTGGACCACAGAGCTAGTGGAATCGCATTTAAAATGCCACGAAGACATGTCTCTTCCAATACCTTCGCCAAACAGCCATAACTGGTATGTTCTGATAACGTGTTTTAATCGCAAGATACACACTTTGAAAAACCACTCAATCACCAGTGGAACTAAGGTCTAAATGGCAAAATACATTGGCTAATTTGAAAAGGAATCACTTTATAAGTAAAACAATTGAGTAAATGATAACAAGCCGTTAACAGAGTATTATGGCAGTAGACTTAAACATCATACTCATGATAGCATTGTCTCCCATAATTCTTTCAAGGTGAGGAGTTCGAAAGCTTCCCCATGGCGCTGGGGTTATTTTCCAAGGCTGATAGCAAAAATGATCGACAACCACCATGGCACTTCGTACTTTACACTTGTTCAATTACGTTCTACATTCTAGTTTGACTTAAACTCTAATTTAAAGAGGGAGCCTCACCTATAAGCCCTCATGGCTTCTTCAGACTTCCTCGCATTTTTATTTTCCTATTTTATATTTCCCATGTATTATCTAAGCAAATTAGCTTTGTTCGCATTTAAATATGTAATAAAGGTAAACGATAAATAACAAATAAATTCTGTGAATTACTTCAAGCACTACAATTAAGAGCAAACCGTCAAGTTCAGCTTAAAAAGTGAACACACAACGGCGGCACCAAAGTACAATGGCACCAATAACACATAAGAATATCCTCTATGAGTGCTGTTCCATAATCGTTGAACAGAAATTCGCCAAACAACTTTTGCTATCATTCCAATGAGAGGAGCAAATATTGCAATTAAAAATTTGCAATTAATAATTTATGGCTTTTCGGAGTAATTTTTGATTGGCTGGTGTAAACCAAAAATCAAAGTAATTACAACAGCCAATAATAATGAAGTTTCGCATCGTTATTAGTCAATGAGGTTTTAAAGGAAATACAGACAAACTATTGAAATTGGAGCCAAACGACCAATCACGTTTTTTTTTTCGTTTGGCGTCTGACTTGTTTCACACATTGTGCGTGTTTCTAGACCAATCACAGACCGAAATAATGAAAACCAAAGCAGTGCGGGATTTCTTTTTACACATAGCTATGAATTACTCCATATCAAAATATCAATCAAACCATGAAAGCTCATTCAAACCGAAAAACCTGCAACCTCTTAAAAGCTATATTTAATGTAAGAAATATACTCCTTCAGCTAAGAACAGAGTTTCGTGAAAGAAATTCCTGATTTTTCGCAATTTTTTCTGGTTGCGTTCTGTTTCTTCGTGAATGTTTTCCTGGTCTGTAGCCATAGCTGCCGAAAAACTTTATTTCAATCTGAAAATGCGACAAGAAAACAAAACAAAATTAATAAACAAAAATTCATATTTCCCAGGAAATGGTTCTCCTCGTACTGATTGGAATTCGGAATGTTGATTTAATGAGAATAAAAACAAGAAGACCCTGGGGAAAAACGCCGAGGGAAAAGCCGCGGATCAACAACAAACTCAGCCGACATGAGAAGCAAGGTCCTGAATATAACCCAACCACAATGGTGAGAAGCAAGACTATGAAATATTACTCCAAGAAAAACTGCCATAATTTCAAAAAACCAAGGCTAAAAAAAAAGGAAGAAAACAAAATATGAAGCTGTAGTTTGTAGCCAATTTTATGATTATGCACGACCCGTGAAACGACAGCAATGGTACATTTCAAAGACACTGTTGTATTTTTCTGGCAGGGAAGTGGAAAGCTTAGTTCATTCTCACAGTTATCTCGATAAAGATCAGCTAACAAACCATTGTAGTGATTTAAGTGGAGATAACAGTTTGAGGGTTAACCCTTCGACGCACCTCTTGCTTTACATAGGAAACATAAGGCTTTCGAATTTCATTACGGGTGTTAATCGATCTTCATCATTTTCAAATTGAAAGGCACGTGACGTTTGCTTTTCCCTTTTTACCTTGTATGGGTTGAAGACTGACATAGTGTACCTCAGGAATATGTCCCAGTACTAGTGGCTTGCTTTCCTCAACAGGACAATGAGGCCTGATGACTACATCATTTTGTAGAGTGCTGACCACATGAATGCACGTTTTGTAGCAATTTGCTGCTGCACAGAGAATGAGGTGATCACCCCAAGCGCCATTTTGTTCCATATATGTTAGGTAATCAGCCCATGTTTCGTGGCCATGGACAAAGTGACACAGATCTGTTCCATCCGCCTGT